GGATTCTGTGCCTCTCCTCTCTTCCTCCAGACTCTGGGACCTTGATTTCCAAAGGAAATGCAAACCTTACTTTCATCAGAGAACATAACTTTGGACCACTCAGCAGCAGTTCCAGGCGAGACACTTCTGACGCTGACTCTTGTTCAAGAGTAGCTATACACAAGGAATGCAACAGCTGAAACCCATGTCTTGCATATGTCTCTGCATGGTGGTTCTTGAAGCACTGACTTCAGCTGCAGTCCACTTTTTGTGAATCTCCCCCACATTTTGGAATGGGTTTTGTTTCAACATCCTCTCCAGGGTGCAGTTATCCCTGTTGCTTGAACACTTTAATCTACCACATTGTTTCCTTCCCTTCTCCTCTCTATTAATGTGCTTGGACACAGAGCTCTGTGAACAGCCAGCCTCTGTAGCAATGACCTTTTGTGTCTTGTCCTCCTTGTGCAAGGCGTCAATGGTTGTCTTTTGGACAACTGTCAAGTCAGCAGTCTTCCCCATGATTGTGCAGCTACAGAACTAGACTGAGACCATTTAAAGGACTTTGCAGGTGTTTTGAGTTAATTAGCTGATCAGACCGTGGCACCAGGTGTCTTTAATATTGAACCTTTTCACAATATTATAATTTTCTGAGATACCGAATTTGGGGTTTAATTAGTTGTCAGTTATAATCATCAACATTAAAAGAAATAAACATTTGAAATATATCAGTCTGTGTGTAATGAATGAATATAATATACTAGTTTCACTTTTTGAATGGAATTACTGAAATAAATCAACTTTTTCATGATATTCTAATTTTATGACCAGCTCCTGTAACTTCAGTCACATTTCAGAAAACTTTAATTAAATGGAATGTTCTTGTGTAGAGTCTTTCTGTCTAACCAACACACTTAAAGGTCTTTACAACACAATTTGTGCCCTCATTTACCTCCGCACACACGTTCAAACGGATTCAGATTATCTCTATAAATTCAATCTGAATCTGTAGAGAATAATCAGAGCTTTATCACATTCTTACACTGATGGGACACACATCAGAGGCAACGAGGGGTTCAGTGCAGTGACGTGCGGTCAGGGGAGGCAGTGCACGTCATGACAAGTTAAATACCAACGATAAGAAAAAATACATTTAACCACTTGACTGTTCTACAAAAGTGTTTTCTGAATTATTTCAACACTTCAATGGTCAAAATCATGGAATTTACATGTCGCCTGTTCAAAAACAGAAGAAATGCACTGGTTCACCTCTGGGGGCGCTGTGTCATATACCATATATAAAGTAGGTGGTTGTAGCCAGGGCTTGATTAACACTTCACTGTACCCTGGGCAACAATCTTACTTAAGGGCCCCATCATCACGGCCCCAGAATCACCATAATCTGGCAAAATACAGAATAAATTACCATAATATACAGTAAATATACTTAAATTTCTAACTATCAAGTGTATTTTTATGTATAAAACTCCAAATGCTCATTGACACAAATCATCAAGACTGAATTAAGTTGAAAGTACTTTGAACACCACATGACACCATATGTGTACTTGTTTAGTAACATGTTGGCCACTGGTGTCAGAAGCATTTATAATGGGGGGGACACACAGTGATGGGGGGTCTGGTGGTCCTCCCTCAGAACATTTTGAATAAAGTAGATGCCATTTCCTGCATTCTGGTGTATTTTAATGGTTGTTTAACATCTAGTTTTACCTACACAAGTAAACACTTGGAACACCTTGGGATTCCCCTGGAGGAGCTGGTCCAAGTGTCTGGGGAGAGGGAAGTCTGGACCTCCCCACTTAGACTGATACCCCCGGCTGGATGGAAGTAAACACTTGATTCAGTAACGATTTTAGAGCTAATGGCACAACAAGAAGTAACCTGACCAACAGCTGATTCAATGAATTAAAAATATTATTCAAAAGTGATGATTTCAGAGAGTTTCTTTATCGTCATTCGCACCTCATGTGGTGGAACGAGATTATGTACACGGGGTCCCAAATTTGATGCCCAAATTATAATTAAATATCTGTAACTTAGTTGACTTGAAATTTAATAAGATTATCAATGAATGTTTGACAAATGATTTACTGATTATAACAAATATTCCTTCAAGAAACCTCCCAGTATAAATCATAAAACCAGAATGACTTCTGCTCATTCTAAATTTGTCAAATGGCCTAAATCTCCTAAAGTGAAGGAGAATCATTTTAAAATAATAAATAAGATATATGCTGTAGTTATGTTTCTGCAAAGAAGATTTAAATTTGATGTTGATTTGTGTGTCTTTTTTAAATCACAAGATGAATCCCTCAAGCAATTTTTTTTTAATGTCAATACAAAGTGTTTGGTCAGACATCAGAAACTGGATTAATCTCAAACTTAACATTCCTTCTTTTGATTCTGATGCTGTTTTACTTTATGTGATAACTTGAGCTCAGTTTTCTCTGATGCCATTAATATAGTCGTACTTATGGCAAAGTACCACATTCACTGTAGTAACAGGAGTGATAATAATCCTTCCTTCTGTTTGATGAGCGGTTTTAAGTCGTACTATTCTTCATTAAGTAGATTAAAAATCTGCAAAACTGCTAAAATCATCTCACAACAGATACAAACTTATTGTTTTAATTAAAACAAGAAGTTCCTCAAGTAAAAAAAACTGAGCTTGTCAGCAGGTAAGGGGCGTTCACCTTCGGGACAAATTGAGGTCGTTGATTGGACAGTTACTGACACGCCTTCTGAGTTGATTGACAGGTCGCGCAGTCGAGGATCCAATAGAAAAAAACAGCTGCAGCAGCTGCTGGGAGGAGGCGGGGCTGCACAGATGCAGATGAAGCACAGCAGTTTCTGTGCATCGCAGGGCTCCAAGTAAAGCAGGAGATAACCAGATATTTTGCTTGTGCCCTCACTGCCCTGGGCCCCTTAGAGATCATGGGCCCCTTAGAGATCATGGGCCCCTTAGAGATCATGGACCCCTTAGAGATCATGGACCCCTTAGAGATCATGGGCCCCTTAGAGATCATGGGCCCCTTAGAGATCATGGGCCCCTGGGCAGTTGCCCATATGGTTAATCCGACCTTGGTTGGAGCGTGCCCATTGCTCTCTTTCTATCACCAATATACGTTTGACTACACGTGCACATGCTGCTGTTCTACAGACTAACACACTGAATGAATGAGACCTTTCTTCTTTGCAGTGTTCATAACGCTCATGTACCCTGCTGCTCCAGTAGGGGGCAGTGCTGCCGTCACTGGGTTCTTGTTACAGAGGGGCGGGGTGAAGCAAACCATACACATTACATTTTTTTAGACAACATTCAGACCATATGTCAAAAGTAAAGGATTCTTCTAAACTAGATTTTCAGTCCAAGCAGGTTTTAGAGAGAAGGAAGAAAAGGCCACATCAAAACAGAAACTTGTTTTTGGGTTCATATATGTGAACACAAAGAGGAATTTAATTAGCACTTGTTTACATGTGTGTGCAATAAAAATGTGTGTAGGGCCCTGGTCCTCTTCACTCCTGCTCCAACTGCCCCACTGAAGACGTGTGCCACCAGTGGACTTGTGTGTGTGGACGGAGACGCGTCCTCTTCAGCTTCAAACGATTTGTCCCGTTTAATGTTGGTTTCCAAAAGCAACGTGTAAACTGTGCGTGCTTCAATAAAGAGGTCTGCTCAAAGAGTTACATTTTTATTAAACACACAACACATTTGTTTTTGTTGCTATAAATAAATAGTTGCACCGTGTGTGTGTGGTTGGGACGTCCACGGACCAGAGGACAGCAAACTGCACATGTGCTCAGGACAAGACGTGCTGGCTTCATGCAGACAAACCCATTCAAACAGAAACCAGCACCAACGTTGAACTGGAGGTTTAGTGGATCGGAGCAGCTCTGACGTCACTCACATTAAAGGGCTAGTTTGGACATTTATTAATGGGGTTCTGTGTGAAACCTGTGGGTCGGGCTCTCTGAGCACCTGACAGCTTCGTTCTCTCGTCTTCACATGAACATTTAGAAGAGTTCATGCAAACTTTCCACTGTCAGCACTTTCACACTGCAGGAAGTGCTGCAGCCACCTGCTGCTGCACTCCATGTGAACAAGCTTGTACGGTCAAAGTAATGACGTGAAGGTTCAGACACGGTGTGGGTGAAACCAGTTCTGCACAGACACTGATCTACTTCCATCTGGGCCCCACTCGGACCATCAACACACTTTGTGTCCCCCCTCTGAGACCAGCATCACTCATTTACAGATGATGTCATCTTGTGTTTGTGGAACCAGAAGATGTAGGGCTTGAATTCCTGCCTGCTCCTCTTCACACCTGCACCATCACAGCTTTCACTGTAAGATTTAAAGAAGTGATTCTCACTAAAGCTGATGTGAAAATGAATGTCCCTGCACACAAGAAGTGCACGAGCCAACAACTGTGAGGGTTCTTCACCTGATAACTGGTCACACCTGCTCAAACACGGCCAATTTCAAAGTATTCAGATCAGTGGGCTCATTGGTCGTTCATCTCAAGTCAACATGGACTGCAGCCGTCAACACGTGGGTGAAGGTGACACGAAGAAGTGCAGGAGTTGTGAAGGAACCTGCTACTGAGCAGGTGGACTAGTCAGTGATGTTCAGACTAGCCTTAAGCTCATCAGTCCAGTCAGAATGAAACTCAGTTCCCCCAAACGAGGATGTTTAAAGAGCTATCTACAACAGGTAAGATATTTAATTGAAAGTCATATGCAGAACCTCACTTTACATGTCTGAACTATCCCTTTAAAGTCCCCGTTCAGCCGTCAGAGAAGCTGAGCACATCAGCAGCGCTCGTGTCTCAACAGAAGGGAATAAAAACTAGAGAAAAAGATCAGCATGGTGGATTCTTCTTCAAATAACTCTTTACTGCACCTTGTTTAAAACCACAGAACAAAAAGACGAGTCAAAATCAACACGACTTATGAATAAACCAGAGAAGAATCGTCTGAAATCATTTTGAACATCTTGGACTAAATACTGTGGACAGTAAATAACTTTTTAACAAAAGGCTTTTGTTTATGAAAATAAAGAGTCAGGATTCTGGTGATGGGAACGGTAGAAGGAAATACTGTCTCTACGGAGGACGAGCAAGCCGTCCTGCTTCTCTTGCAGCCTCCTCCGTCCAGCAGCGAGGAGGTGGTGTCTGCTGCCGCGGCTCAGTACGAGCCGTAACGATCCTGAGAAAACACAACACTCCGTCAACACACGGTTCTTTAGCGTGGCTGCACCCCGAGCCACGGGTCGCAGAACAAGGCAGAGTCCTGCTGCTCAGTGCTCTGTTCTGATCACAGACTACTCCGACATGAACCCGGTCACACTCAGATCTCTCACCTGAATAGTGTTCATCACACCGTTAGCGAGGACAGCCATCTTTCCTGCCACGGTCTTCACTCCCTGTTTGAACTGTGCCATGTCCGGTCCAGAGGGGAGCACACTGTCAAAGCCTGAGCCTGAGGAAGGAGAAGAGGACATGCGTCACCGCTCTCTCCTTCAGCTCAGCATGGGAGAGCAACTTTACTGACTACCAAGAACACTGTGTCCACGTGACCCGTTTTAACCGATTTCAATTTATTGACTACATTTTGTTTCAGACTGACACGTTCAGCATCAAACGTCGAGTGTGAAAGTAGAATAGTTTCTTTCAGCTGCTCCCTGCTTCGTTGTTTACAGCCAGACCACCCTGCACGCCCCAACTTGGAAGCTAAGCAGGGTCGGTTTGGTTGGTACTTGGATGGGAGACTGCCTGGGAATACCAGGTGCTGTAGGCTGGGGGGGGGGTAGTGCAGGGGTGTCCACACTTTTTCATCAAGCAGCTCCTTTTAAAATGACCAAGTCAAAGTGATCTACCTGCTGTAAGGCCCCATTTACATGAGAGCAACCTCTGGAAACCTTTGTGTTTTTTCAAGGTTTATCAGAAACAGAAAATGAGCAGGTTTACACAAAAACACTGTAGTTTCCATGTCAGTCTGGTTTCCAGATAAGAAATGATGAACTAGAGTACTGTGGCTTTAAAATGAAAGTATTTTGACCTAAACTCTCACATGTGCTGAGTAAAGATATTCTAAGATGAGGTGTGTGCTGAGTTTGTTGAACATGTGCACAGAAAAGGAGGGAGTAAATAAGACACTTTAAATTTATCTGGCAACCCTGAAGGGCTCAGCTGCATTCATCGTGCATGCAGTGTCTGCATGACAGTTACTCCAAACTGGTGAACACACTAACGTCTCTTTGTAACTGGATTTTATTAGTTTTGCTCCTACAAACTGAAAAAGGGTGAGCAGCACAAAAACACTCTGCTCTCTGACATTTATTACAACTGATATATTTATTGCAACAGTTGTTGTATTTATTGCAACAGTTGTTGTATTTATTGCAACAGTTGTTGTATTTATTGCAACAGTTGTTGTATTTATTGCAACAGTTGTTGTATTTATTGCAACAGTTGTTGCATTTATTGCAACATTTGCATTTATTACAACTGTTTATTGCAACCGTTGCATTTATTGCAACCGTTGCATTTATTGCAAC